TCCTTAAGTGTCCCTTTGTAAGTAGGTATGAGGTCTTCTGCCTGGAGTGTATTTCGCTTAGGGTTGCTATCAGGTGTGTTTGAGAGTGAACAGCCTTGTGCTTTTGGAAGGGCAACTAGATTATTTTTCACCAACCATTTCACAGTCAAATACTTATCTGATACATTGCTGAACGGGATTAGAAAATTTCCTTTAGTCAGTCCTGTAATATATAAAGAAAAAGAAGAGTGTAGTAAGAATACATAAAGAAGGAAATTCAGTTAAGTTTGCCTGTATAAAAATCCGTAAATTTGCTATAGTGAAATTTGAGAATCTAATGCAATGACGAAAATGAGCTTTTGAATTAATACGCGATCATTAGCTTCCTTGACTCCTTGTATTCATTCTCAAAGCTGTGATGTACAGGTATTATAAAGTTCACATAGATTAGTTATCAGAAGATTACGAATGATAGAAAGACGTTATCTTACAAGGAATTTGTAATTTTGATTATGCAAGAAGGTGAAACTCATGTTTAGACCGGACTAATATCCAAAAGCTCTTCTACTGTTCACGATCAAGTGATCATAATTAAAAATACACGCAGTGATTCAGTGCTGTTAACTGTGAAGGAACCTATACCACGGAGCACTGATGAGAAAATTAAGGTTAGTTGTTTCATTGCCCTCTTGCAGCATTCACATTTTCTGGTATATCTTCAGATACGACTTATCAACCCAACAGTACCTGCAGCGGATGAAGCTATTACCAACAATTTAGGTGAACTTTGTCGTACTCTTTTGTTAGTGAACAACCACTATGATCGATTGATCCTAGTTTTAGATGAAAATTTTTTTTCGAATGCTTGTTGCGTCTCTGCGAACACTCGCGATTTTTGTGACCATAGTAATTTTTCTTTTTTAGATTATATGAGGTAATTTGCAGAAGACCTGACGATAGCAGCAGAGCCTCCTAAGGAGGGAGCGAAAATGAATGGTAGTAATCTAGAATGGACAATTTCAATACTTGCTGGAATGGCGAGCGAACTTCATGTGAAATGGGCTGCCGACCATCCAGCAAACGAAATTGTGCACTTCGTCGAGCGTCACTAAAGAGAATAAGGTGATAAGGTGAATGTAATTGTCAGTAGATCCCTACTTCAAAATGGGCATCAGAGTTGTTATTTATCACATACGTCTAAACTATATTTGTATTGTTCATACAACATCATAAAAGATCAATGGCTAACGTGCCTCTTTACTTCTGTATATGCCAGGTGGACAAGAGCCTTTCTGGTAAAGTACAATGGACCATATTGAATAATTCAAGTTAAATTCAATACGCTTCCTCCAAAGATTCAATGAGATACTTGATGCAAAATCGGAAATTCGAATATTCGAAAGTCTTAGCTTTCGGATATCTAAAAGTTGAATAATTAAACTTATAAATTTCAGATCATTAAAAATGAAAGCTCGAAAATAAATTTGATTCGAACTTATAAAATAATCTGAAAATTCTCATATCTGGCAGGTGTTTGAATATAGTATTTAAACAAATCATTCGAATACACACACACAATCTCTGATGCATGTATGTAAGACAAAACTCGGACTCATATCCTCTCTTATGCACTTCCTTTGCGGTTTTGTAGATTGATGTTGTTACCACTTCAAGGACATTATGGAGCGGAAAATATTAAAGAACTGGTTCACTAAATATTCTTTTGGTTAAAGCTGCATTTTGAAATGAGCTGAATTTGCCACAGCTCCATTACATCATTAGTAAGAAAAAAGGTAAAAATATGACACCTGAACCATGATGCCGAGTTTGCATTAGCTGTTAGAAGCTATGTAGCAAATTTTGATAAGGGACCATACTTACTGCTCATCAGCGAAAACCTGAAGTGGATGGAAAAAAAGTATAAAACTCTGGAGCAGGCCGAAAAACACACATCCAATCAATGGCTTATACTTGCTTTATAACCACTCATTCGAAACGGGCTGCTTACATGGGTTACCAAAGTGAATATTTGACTGGTCGTAAACCTTTGGTCGTTTGGAATGTGATTTCAAGACCAATGAAAAAATGTGGCAACACTTTTTTGAGATACTATTGAGCTGGTGTGTTAGATTGAGCCATAAATCTCAAATCCACCTATTTCTAAGAACTATTAGGTTTGTACTTTGTTCACAAATCTTTGCCAATTATATCCACCATTAGTGTTCGCCACCCGGCTTTCCAACTAGTTGCTTCATACTCTGCCATAGGAAGTAATCGAGAAAAGCAAGCCCTCGTTTTCAGATTGAGTTGTCGCCGAATTACTCCTTGCAAAATAATTTTTAAAGAACGAATTAAA